AAACACAAACATCCGCTGGCTTAGAGATGGAAATAAACGTTGCTTAAATATGCTTTCAAGAAATACAGGTATCGTGATATGTTTCCACAGCTCCCGAGAGCAGCAAAGGGAGATCTTTACTCACACAGCAGCATCTTCATGGATACATTTTTAAGGTCCCATATTCTTTAAAATCCACTTCCCCATGTTCCTCTAACTCTAACATGTGTCTCTAGTCCGTCTACAAACCCCCCAATGATGAGAAAAGTCCATCCTCTCCGTCTTCTGCCTGCTCCACTTTTCAGAAAATGTGTGCTCAAACAGGCTGTTTGGAGATTTTCCCTTCATGACATCACAAAGGGCAGTAGCCCCTCCCCCAGGTGGGTGACACTCCCACAGCTAGGTGTTTGTTCTGCCCTCTGAGTCTGCCTTCTCACCGTAAACAATAGGACATGGAGCAAGAAAGTACCGAGTACACCCAAGCCCTTCCAGAGAGGGGGCGTGGTCAGACACAGCTCATTTACATATTTAAAGGTACAGACAGCAGGGCTGAAATAGAGGGGTTTATAGACATGATCAAATACAGGATCAGAGTGGATTTAGAACAAGAAACTTCACACACATGTTTTGAGGAGCTCTGACACTTACTTACACTGAAGAAGAGGAGGAGGATATGTCAACTTTAAAGTAGATCGACTAGCTCAAACCAATCCGAAACTCTTGAATTTTGAGCTGTTGCCGTCGGCGTGTTTCTAATCATTTGTGGGCTGCAGAGTGACCTTTGTACGTTTCTTTTTGCCATCATGATGAATGTTAAGTTTTGTAATCATGAGGATTGCGCCGCTTCCTGAACAACGACAGAGAGCTGTTGTAACTTCACTTTTTCTTTTATAAAAATTGGGTGTTTTTTTTTTAACTCATTGATATTCTCCAGACACTCCTCTGTTTGTCACAAGCGTGCACTGAACAAGACTTTACAGACACCGCTGAAATGTGTCCTTACTGGAATCTTTTGATACCAAACAGTGATCCAGTTTAGACGTTTGTGAACTCTGAATGCAGCACGGCTGACTATAAAAAAAACATCATAATAATATTGCTTATGTACCACAGAGGAAACTGTGGCGGCTGCAGAAAGAGGAAGCAGGTTGATGTTTTTGCAGCAGCATGACTGCTTTCATTCTAATGACAGATTGGAGACGTGAACAGAACTCTAGAAGTGAAGCGTGGAGAGACGGAGGAAAAGGTCAGGCCCGTGGCGTGAAGGATGGACTTACTGAGAAGAAACTACAAAGATCAAAAATCTAAAAAATCATTGAGGCACCTTTCAAGTTGAAAATACATGATAATCCATTAGCCACAATGCTAATGTTAGCATTCAGCATTCATAACCCAGAGGTGATACTCAGGGTTCAACTCTGGGCCCACTTTAATTTACTGTCTATATTCATTTTCATGGACTTTAATATATCTACGCCTGCACAAGGTTTCTCAAATCTTCATCCTGAAGTAAATAACAGGTCAGCGGAAGAATGGCGTCTCGTAGCCCGACGCACTTTCTCAGTATTTTAATCTATAAAATGGAGATAAAGTGAAATGTTGGCGCTGTGTGTGAGGTTAAACTGGCCAGAGCGATGTGTCATGAACTGGCTCAAAGTAAGTGACAAAGAAGGAGTATCACACACGGACACCAGGCTTAAAGGAAGTGGATTTATTATGACCACATTGAGCACGGGCGTGTGAATGTTAACCTACAAGGAGGACTGAAGGCTAATGCTAACGTTAGCCACACTCCGTAAAACTATTTGACACTGTTTACAGATGGCCAAAATCCACCCACAATGCACTGCTGTTTGGTCTACTTCCCTCGTTTGGTTTGGATCTCGTACTCACCTCACCTCACGCTCTTCCTGTCTTGACACAGACACAATCTTTTGGTTCAACTTTTAATTCTGTCTTTAGGACAAAGAGTCGGTTCTTCACGGTTTTTATTTCACGCTCATCCTAAAAACCTCAGTCGTCCAGAGTGCAGAGAAGAGGGGTTGTCTTCTTTTGACCTTTTAACCAGATAACAAGAAATCTTTTGTCTCCACTCTCTTTTTTTATGTCAGATGTTTCCTCTCTAATGGATTTGTCGGCGTCTTTGTGTCTTTGTGTCTTTGTGTGCGTGTGTGCGTGCGTGTGTGCTTGTGTGTGTGGGGGGGGCTCTGAATGAACATTTATTCATTCATTTTTATTAATTTCCTTTCATGCTTTATTAACAGTTTCATAAGAAGTTAGAGATGGAGTCATTGAAAGAAAACGATATGAGGGGGCCGTTGAGCACACTTCACTAACGCTTGTTTAGTTTTGATATCTTACAGATTTACTTTTTAAATTTAGATTTGCCTTTTACACGCAATCAGACTTTATTTATCCTGAAGGGTGTGTGTGTGTGTGGTGTGTGTGTGTGTGTGTGTGTGTGTGTGTGTGTGTGTGTGTGCGCTTCAGAAACCTTTACAGTCGTAACACTTCTTCCTGAAAGGTTTGATGTAAATATATTCAGATTCAAACGAGTTCAGTCAACTGCAGCGTCTCTCTCACTGACTCACGCACACACACACACACACACACACACACACACACACACACACACACACACACACACACACACACACGTGACAGAGTGACGTCTGAAACAGTGTAACCTGAGGATAAAGATAGTAGAAATGTGAGGATAGAAAGTGAGAGACTGACAGTTACTGACTGTGGACGGTTTTTATGAAAGCAGAAGAAGAAAACGGCGAGCGGGAGGGCGTCTTGAGAAAGACTTTCAGGAAACCGTCAACTTCCTCGTTTGTCAGCAACGTGTTGTTCTTTTCTTCTTCTCTCCTGACACGCTCACACGTCAAGACAAAGCTTATCGCTCTTACACAACGCCGTCTAATCACTGGCATCGTACCCGTGTGGTCGTTTGTCTGAAATCTTAAGAGACGCAGGGACCATCACTTCCTGCTTCTCCCCGCGTAGTCTGACTCTGACTTAGATAGAAACACGAGTTCAAACACTGAGTGCAGTCTATGTTGTAGGATCTATAATGATCTGATCTTTAAGTCACACATAGAGAGGCTGCCACATTAGCCACGCCTCCAAGAACAAAACTTCTTAAAGCTGAGAGCCCGCTTGTGTTCTTCTTACATAAACAAACAGGATCTGGTGTCATGGCCGACTGACGGGCAGCATGACGGAGGTCTGACAGAATCCTCTTTGTGTTTCATGATGTACAGCATGTTCATGTCATCACACCTCCAGTCCACTGATCCACCACCACCGCTCTGCCATGATCTCCTTCAGGCGTAGAGAGGAGCGTGTAGATCAGTTCTGCTGCTGTAGAGAGGAGTGTGTAGATCAGTTCAGCGGGGGAATGGGGGAGGGGGAGGACACTCGAGTTAAAGCACGGTAAGGGGCAACAGGGCCGAGTGCGAGTGACACAAACAAGATCTGAAACAGTTTTAAAAACGGTTCTGAACACGATAAGCGTCACTCGTGGTTACATTTCACTCGTGTTTGTGAGTTTTCTTGGTTTATAATCTGACGGCCTGCAGGAAGACGCCGCTCCTCAGTCAGCTGGTGTGACCTTTGACCTGTTGGCTGTTCCTCTGACCTGAGCGGCACCAGCGAGACCGGGGGCTGGCGTGCGGATGTGTTGAGTCTTTGGTGACTCTCAGGGACTCCCCCGAGGCGCCGAGGCCGCTCTGATCTCAACGATGACGCCGTTTGCAGGAGGAAGGACCCGAATGCAGGACCTCGTCCAGCTCTGTGACCTTTAGGGACATTTAGTGAAGCAGCTTCAGTAAAAACTAAATGTTGAACCTTTAAGACTCTTTAAGGACGCCGTCTCATTACGGCCTCAGAGATGCAAAGCGTCGTTAGAAACAGAACAACAAACAATGCGAGTTATAAAATATTCAAACCATCATGAGAGATGCAAATGTTCATGTTGCAGATGTTCTTCAGAGGAGGCGAGCTCCATCAGGACTGCAGAGATCAGGCGGCGTGGCGAGGAGTTTTGGCGTTCTGCTGGTGTGAATAATCGTGGATCGTCAGAACGCCGTGGTCGTTTTTGTGCGTTTGGTATTTGTTTCTGCAGATGTGAACCTCTGATCACTCGGACCTCTCCGCTCCTCCTGAATCATGTTTGTTTTTTGTTTCCTGACTCACTTTGCATCAACATGAAGGATGCAAATCAGCCGAGGTCACGTTCAAACAACCAAAAAGACAAAAGAGTGTCTGTTTATAATTCTACTTCCTCTTGATGAATAAGCTCATGTTTTCTGTCTCTAACAGCCTGTTTTACATCCTTCATGAATCCTGTAATGAATTTGCATTTTTTCATTCAGTTACCTGAAAATAAAATTAAAATATTAAACTCTGAGTGTCTCTGCTGTGTGATGCAGCGTCTCCTACGGTGGCTGGGAAGTTCAGATCAAGATTACAAAGTGAGAAAAACTTTGAGGAGACAAACTTTACAGAAATCACCACGTGGTCACCATAACACATCCTGTTTGATCTGTCTGTCTTTGTTAGAGAGGACAGCTGAAGAGAGACAGGACGTGTTGGGGAGGTGGGGGGGGGGGGGGGTGACATGCAGCAAAGGGCAGAGGTCGGATTTGAACCCACAGCCGCGGTGCTCCATCATTACGCATCCTGCACAGCCTTTCATCCGTCCGTCTTCTTCCTCTTATCCGAGGTCAGGTCGCCGTGGCAACAGACGCAGTAAGTCGACCCAGACTTCACTCCCCCTGAATGTCTAAGCTCCTCCCCCTGACTGTCTAAGTGTTACGCCCCACCATAAGGCAGCCCTATGGGGCTAACAGCAAACCATACATTGACCCATTAAAAGACACTAACCACCTTAACAAAAGTCAAAACAAAGGGATTTATTACAATATGACACACTAAATGATAACAAAGATCAAAAGAGAAACAACAGACAATCCCTGACTGAGCAGCACAGCAGTCCCAACTCAAAATGCCTCTCATCTCTGCAGCCAGCACTGGCCTTTTAAGCACTGAGGCCAGGTGTACCTCGTTGTGCAATTAGTAGCTTCACCTGGGCTGGAGACAACAGAAGGGGAGAAGGGACACAGGGCACAGGGAAACATACAGCCGTAACACTAAGCTCCTCCCCCTCTCTCCAGAGGAAACTCATTTCAGACGCTCGTATCCTCGATCTTCTTCTTTCAGTCTAAAGCTCATGACCTCAGGTTGAGGGTTAGAACGACAATAGACCGTAAATGGAGAGCGTTGCCTTCAGGCTCAGCTCGCTCTTCACCACAACGGCCCAACACGGTCTCAAACCTGCGCCCGCCGCACCAATCCACCTGTCACGCTCCCGCTCCATCTTACCTCGAAACAAGACTCTAAGATACCTGACCTCCTTCGCTGGAGGCGGAGACTCGCTCTAATCCACTAAAACTAACAGACCGCTCACTCAGTCACCCCGAGGTCACTTCAGGGTCACTTCGGGGTCACTTCTGGTACGTCTTCTTTCCTCCATGATCTGTCGTTTCGCTCAGAAAACTGTTTCTTGTTGTTTTGAACTTCACAGCCACCGTAGTCTGCAAACATTTTCAGAGTTAAATTAACCAGTCTGACTTTAATCTAACACACTGTGTGTGTGTGTGTGTGTGTGTGTGTGTGTGTGTGTGTGTGTGTAGAAAAGGACTACAGCAGCCTGTGTGAGCGGCAGCCCATCGGACGTTTACTCTTCAGACATTTCTGTGAGACGCGACCTGAGCTGAGACGCTGCGTCAAGTTCCTGGACGCTGTGGTAAGAAGAGTGTGTGTGTGTGTGTGTGTGTGTGTGTGTGTGTTTGTCCTGTTCCTGGAAAGAGTCCCCCTTTCTACTTTTGTGGAAAGACAAAAGGACTGAAGTGTGTGTGTGTGTGTGTGTGTGTGTGTGTGTGTGTGTGTGTGTGTGTGTGTGTGTGTGTGTGGTGTGGTGTGTGTGTGTGTGTGTGTGTGTGTGTGTGTGTGTGTGTGTGTGTGTGTGTGTGTGTGTGTGTGAAATGGGGGAAGGGTGGGTCTCAAGGATTTGTGTTCTTCTGTGAAATGCTGCACAGTTCCTGTAAGTGAGGGAGGAAAGAGGAGAAGAAGAATAGGTGCCACACCTATTCTTCTTCTCCTCTTTCCTCTTCCTCTTCTTCCTCCTCCTCCTCTTCTTCCTCCTCCTCCTCTCTCCCTCTCTCTCTCTCCTCTCTCTCCTCCTCTTCCTCCTCCTCCTCTTCTTCCTCCTCTTCCTCCTCCTTCTCCTATTCCTCTTCCTCTTCCTCCTTCTCCTCTTCTTCCTCCTCTTCCTTTTCCTTCTCTCTCCTCCTCTTCCTCCTCTTCCTCCTCCTTTCTCTTCCTCCTCTTCTTCCTCCTCTTCCTCCTCTCTCTCCTCCTCTTCTTCCTCCTCCTCTCTCCTCCTCCTCTTCTTCCTTCTCCTCCTCCTCCTCTCTCCTCCTCCTCTTCTTCCTCCTCCTCTCTCCTTCTCCTCTTCTTCCTCTTCCTCCTCCTCCTCTTCTTACTCCTCTTCCTCCTCCTCCTCTCTCCTCCTCCTCTTCTTCCTCCTCCTCCTCTTCTTCCTCTTCCTCCTCCTCTTCTTCCTCCTCTTCTTCCTTCTCCTCCTCCTCCTCCTCTCTCCTCCTCCTCTTCTTTCTCCTCCTCCTCCTCCTCTCTCCTACTCCTCTTCTTCCTCCTCCTCCTCTCTCCTCCTCCTCTCTCCTCCTCCTCTTCTTCCTCCTCCTCTCTCCTCTTCCTCCTCCTCCTCCTCTCTCCTCCTCTTCTTCCTCCTCTTCCTTTTCCTTCTCTCTCCTCCTCTCTCCTCCTCCTCTTCTTCCTCCTCCTCTCTCCTCCTCCTCTTCTTCCTCCTCCTCCTCTTCTTCCTTCTCCTCCTCCTCCTCTCCTCCTCCTCTTCTTCCTCTTCCTCCTCCTCCTCCTCTTCTTCCTCCTCCTCCTCGTCTTCCTTCTCCTCCTCCTCCTCTCTCCTCCTCCTCTTCTTCCTCCTCCTCCTCCTCCTCCTCCTCCTCTCCTCTCTCCTCCTCCTCTCTCCTCCTCCTCCTCTCTCCTCCTCCTCTTCTTCCTCCTCCTCTCTCCTCCTCTTCTTCCTCCTCCTCTCTCCTCTTCCTCTCTCCTCCTCCTCTTCTTCCTCCTCTTCCTCCTCCTCCTCTCTCCTCTTCCTCCTCTCTTCTCCTCCTCTTCTTCCTCCTCCTCTCTCCTCCTCCTCCTCTCTCCTCCTCCTCTCTCTCTCCTCTTCCTCCTCCTCCTCTTCTTCCTTCTCCTCCTCCTCCTCTCTCCTCCTCTCTCCTCCACCTCCAGCTGATTCAGAGCGAGTTCGTGGTCGTCCTCTCTCTCTCTTCTCTCGCTCATGTTGTGTCTCTCTGCAGGCGGAGTACGAGGTGACGCCGGACGAGAAGAGGAAGGAGTGCGGTCAGGAGCTGGTCGACAAATACTTCGACCCACAGGTACGTGCTGCCTTCACTGACCCTCCACTGCGTCAGTTAAAGTCAAATCTGTTTTAGATTCTGGAGGAAATGTTGATCCAATAAATCCTTTGATGCTTTTTGATCAGACAGCTGAAGAGAGACAGGAAGTGTTGTGGGAGGGGGGGGGACTCTAGCCTCTGTACAGGGGGCGTCCGACACAACCTCTAGGCCATCGGTGCCCCAAACTTTAAATAATTTCTGTCCACATAAACCCGAGAACAGTTTTAAGACGGACCAATGAGCAGCTTCTGAAAAGTTTCTGACTCGAGTCAGTCTGAATGTTGCTGAAGTGTGATGAGAGGAGGGACACTACAGGACTCTCTCTCTCTCTCTCTCTCTCTCTCTCTCTCTCTCTCTCTCTGTCTCCCTCTCTGTCTCCCTCTCTCTCTCTCTCTCTCTCTCCTCTCTCTCTCTCTCTCTCTCTCTCTCTCTGTCTCCCTCTCTGTCTCTCTCTCTCTCCCTCTCTGTCTCCGCTCTCTCTCTCACTCTCTCTCTCTCTCCCTCTCTCTCTCTCTCTCTCTCTCTCTCCTCTCTCTCTCTCTCTCTCTCTCTCTCTCTCTCTCTCTCTCTCTCTCCCTCTCTCTCCCTCTCTCTCTCTCCCTCTCTCTCTCTCTCTCTCTCTCTCTCTCTCTCCCTCACTCTCTCTCCCTCTCTCTCTCTCTCTCTCTCTCTCTCTCTCTCTCTCTCTCTCTGTACCTGCGGGCGAGCAGGTCTGAACACGCTGAGCGTTAGTCGCTGGATTAAACCCAGTTCGTCCGGCTTTTCTCCCTCAGTGTGCCGATCAGATGTAAGTCACTCTGTTTACCTGAACCTATGTGTGTGTGTGTGTGTGTGTGTGTGTGTGTGTGTGTGTGTGTGTGTGTGTGTGTGTGTGAGTGTCTGTGTGTGTGTGTGTGTGTGTGTGTGTCTGTGTGTCTGTCTGTGTATGAGCGTCTGTGTGTGTGTGTGTGTGTGTGTGTGTGTGTGTGTGTGTGTGTGTGTGTGTGTGTGTGTGTGTGTGTGTGTGTGTGTGTGTGTGTGTGTGTGTGTGTGTGTGTGTGTGTGTGTGTGTGTGTGTGTGTGTGTGTGTGTGTGTGTGTGTGTGTGTGTGTGTTACAGTCAGAGGATCATGTTCCTGAGGTGGAGGAGGCCATGTTGGCTCGGTGCACTGAGAGGCTGCAGCACGAGTCCTGTAAAGAACTCTTCAACGACTGTACAAAGTAAGCTCTCATGTCAGTGTGGCTAATGTTAGCATTGCTAACACCTGCAGCCTTCTTCACATCCAGGTAGCAGAGTGAAGAGAGATGGAGTATCAACCACAGCTACAGCGCCAGCTAGCTGCAGGCGGCTCATCGAGGGCCGACATGTAAAAAGATTTAATAGTTAAACCGACTATCGATGATGTAATCTGTAAACGTGCACCTGAAAGCAGCTGCAGCATCGTCTTTCACGCCCTCCGTACTGGTGTTTGAAGTTTTCTCTGTTTGACGTAGCGGCCGTTGTCAACAAACTGTTGTCATGGAGACAGGACGGATGTGCAGCGCTTTACTGCTGTGATCAAATAGATGTGAATAATAATGTGATTGTTTAGGGTTTAAACTCCCAGAATGCCTTGCTGCATCTTCACGCTCTCTGCTCTCTCTGTTCCAGATTGATCCACGACTACCTGAGCGTGGCGCCGTTCGCAGACTACCTCGACAGCATGTACTACAACAGATTCCTCCAGTGGAAGTGGCTGGAGAGGTGAACACACACACACACACACACACACACACACACACACACACACACACACACACACACACACACACACACACACACACACACACACACACACACACACACAGCCCGTCTTGTAGAGGCGACCTCCTCAGGACCAGTAAGAACACGCTCACAGAGTTGCCTCCCTCGTCTCCTCGCTGTCCTCAGGTTACCCAACGAGGCCCCTGAGTGAGCTCTGCGTTACAGACGTCATCATGACGAGCTCTAAATTTCACAACATTTCAAAAATGCAGTGAGATGTTATCACAGTCTGCTCCTCCTCCTGGGCTGGGTGTTCACACATTTCAAAAACTGACATTAAACAGATTCTCCTGCAGCTCCTCAAAATGTCTCCTGTGTTTAAATAAATGTTTTCAACCTGACGAGAGGGGAGAGAACGCTTTAAAGGTCCAATCAGTGAGATGTGTAGAGAGTGAGATGATAAAGGTATCTTACTATCTGATCATTAAGGAAACATGCTATGTTGAAGTGCTGGCTTCTCTGACAACAATGCAGCAGCCAGTATGTCCTCCTTCTAACTTTAGATTCTGCTCCTGAATGCTCTGGATTTGTTTGGACCAGAGAAGGTAGGCGGCTTTAAGACTCTAGAGAGGGGGGGGGGACAGCTCTCTACAATGTTTAGAATTTAGACTGCAGTACCCATTTTAAACACTAGGGGTCAGAGTAACCTGTATGTTGCTTAAAAAGGAACAAAGAGATGAAGAAGATATCTGGATCTTTAACTTCTTCTTTACATCGTCCCGTGTGTATTTTTAAAAGTGAGCTTCTTTTGTGTCCAACAGGCAGCCAGTGACGAAAAACACGTTCCGACAGTATCGAGTTTTAGGGAAAGGAGGCTTCGGAGAGGTGAGTGTTTGATGACATCATCAGTCAAGACCAAACAGGACGATTCTGAACTGGATCAGTGTTCTGAAAAAAGAACAACTAAAGAACAGGAAAATAAAAGAACCTCTTTCACTTTGGACACGTTTGTCAGATGGGCGTCCCACAGATTGATGCTGTACCTGGGCGGGGGGGTTGGCGGTGGGGTTGGTGGTGGGTTGGCGGTGGGTTGGCATAGTCTATGTGTTGGAAACACAGTGCGGCTGCAGTAGAAGGGGAAAGTGTTCTTGATGAGTCAGCACCTCGCCTTTAAAGTTCATATTTTCCGGGTCAAGGAGCAGCGTACAGACCAACCACTGACGCTGATGAAGGCGTTCAGACAGAACCTGTTTAAAAACCTGTGATCTGTTTATACCGTCACGCTGCATCACATGGACCCCACCCTCTTTGTTCTGCTCCGCCCCCTGCAGGTGTGTGCGTGTCAGGTACGGGCCACGGGGAAGATGTACGCCTGCAAGAAACTGGAGAAGAAGAGGATCAAGAAGAGGAAAGGAGAGTCCATGGCGCTCAATGAGAAACAGATCCTGGAGAAGGTCAACAGCAGATTTGTGGTGAGCATCTCTACGTTTATATCTTGACTGTTTTCATTCGGACTTCAACAACAAGGAGCGTCCCGTGTCTGCAGGTGAGCTTAGCGTACGCCTACGAGACGAAGGACGCCCTGTGTCTCGTGTTGACGCTGATGAACGGAGGCGACCTGAAGTTTCACATCTACCACATGGGCGAGGCGGGTTTCGACGAGAAGAGAGCCGTGTTCTACTCTGCAGAGATCTGCTGCGGGCTGGAGGACCTGCACCGAGAGCGCATCGCATACAGGTCAGCAGCTGCACAAGAAGGGGGCGTGGCCTATCTGATGACAAACAAACAAACGTCTTTTTAAACCATTTAAACTCTCCTGATCGTTCTAACTGAGCCCCCTTGATTTAAAGAGAAACATGTTACATAATAAAGATCCACTGACTGATTCAAACTGACCTTTTGATGACACCTCATAACGAGAGGCTCCTCCCCCTGTTCTGACGGCCAATCACACGTGACTGGTCAAGTTTATTTATGTCGCACATTTCAACAACAAAGCAATTCAAAGTGCGTCATACAAGACATCAAAAAGCATCATGACAGGGGAAAGAAAAGAAACATTAAAATAGGAAATTAAAAAATCTTCAATCTGAAAATATGATCAAATAAAAATAATTCA